GCAAAGGTGTGTCTTAGTTGAGCTTTTACTTAATAAATGCACTTTAATGGTCAAATTAGCTGCATTTCGCCGGGGCGGTGCAGCTGGTTTTACTGGCTCCAAGCAGCGAGCAGAACGAAGGTGTGTCTAAGGCAAGCCGATTGTGTCATTAATAGCTGGTGAAGATTCTCAGTCATCCAGGACATGGTAAATTCAAAAAAGTTCAAGACAAAAACAATAAAGTAAACTAAAGTTACCTCTACCTGTCAGACAGGCCACTTCCCTCACAGTTTTTAAATCCTGCTTAAAAACCTACTACTATTCCCTGGATTTCAACAATGTATGATCTGTTGCTGAACCTGTATGCGTCACACTGTGCTAATTATTAGGGCCCCGATTTCTTTAATTTTGGGAAATCGGAAATTGGCCAATACTTGCACGAGAAACCGATTTTACTGATTTTTTTTGTTTTTTGTTTTAACAACAATTGTCTGAACTTCATTTATATTTCAGAGCACTACCTCATGGCCAGTTAAACAAGTTTGTATTGTTTCTAGGATATTGTTCAAGGGTATGTTTTTCAATAAAATAAGACTGAAAATTGAAGGTGCATTGTGACCTCATGACACCTGACTGTGTGGCTTATAAAACTAAAATCGGTATCGGCCAAAATCAGAATCGGCAGGTCAGACTTTTTAGAAATCTATGATCAGCCAGAAAACTGCAATTGGTGCACCCCTACATTATTATGTTATTATCCGCTATTATTTTGTTTATATATTTTGATTTTACGTTATGTTAAGTGTTACTGTGTGCTTTCCCTGTTTGTTTCTGTTTGTACAGCACTTTGGTTGGCCTTGTCGCTGTTTAAAGTGCTTTATAAATCAAATGGTATGGGTATGGTAAAGTCCAGTTGTTTTTGTATTGAACTTTTTTGAATTTTTCATTATAGCCTCGTTTACCTATTACATGATACAACGCATGCCTTACTGCTACTACTACTCTGCTGCCATCTAGTGGCTGAAAATGGTACTGCTCTCTTTTTTTTTTCCCAGTCAGAATGAATGAAAACGTCATATCTCAGCCAAAAATTGGTTTATAAACATGGGAAAAAAATCCTTAAATATGTTGCTTCAGCCTATAAGTCACAGGACATGTAAATTATGCAAAAAAACGCGACTTATAGTCCAAAAAATACGGTACTTATTTGATGAACGTGTGTTTGGATCTCTGAGTGTTTTGTTTCTTCCTGCAGAGTTCACAATGAGGTCTGTCCCGCCTGCGATATCGCCACTCAGAGGATGTTTCGAGCAGGAAGGACGGAGTACGTCCGCTCGCCCACGAATCAGGCGCTGAAGTTCATCACGGCCTTCGATGACCCGTCTGTGTCGGTGAGAAACACAGACCGTGTCGTTTATCGTTTGTTGTCTCTTGAGTGCGAGTTTGTGCGAAGCTTTGAGTCGTTTGTGTTTCAGAGGGAGGCCAAACTGCAGCTGTTCAAAGAAGCTGTGGATACTTGCGCAGAGCTGACGGAGCAGGTCGGTGAGCTTCAACAAGCTGCTTTTATTGGCTCTTTTTATTTGCGAAAAGCACACACAAATATGTTTTCATCTTCCTGCTGCTGCTCAGGCACTTAAAGGACACGGGATTGATCGCCACCTGCTGGGGCTCAAGCTGCAAGCCATCGAGGAGGGACTGAGCATTCCCAAGATCTTCATGGACACGGCTTACGGCCTGGCAACACACTGGAAGCTGCGGACAGGCCAGGTGGGGTTTGGTTTGGTTTAGCTCAGCAGAAAGTGGAACTTTTGTCATTTAATAAGGAAGTTATGATCAAAATTCATTCCCGTTTTTGTTTTATTTTGATGTGATGGTAACAGTTTCCAGTTATGACTCCAGTTATAACTTGGGGAATTTCCAGCTGCTCCTGTTCTCTCCGATGACAGACGGGCTGGAGCTGTTTGTTAGTCCTAATTTAACATCTGTAATATTCCTACAACGTGATTTTTATTATTTTATGATGACCTGCTAGGTAAAAACTTTTGGCAGTGTTGTAGAATGCCCCTAAATGAGTCGCTCGATCAGTCTGCACTTTTCCTGTTTTAATAATAAAGTTGAACTTTAATTACTTCCGCTGAAGTGGCTGAATTAGGAAAAGGTTTTCAGATAAACAGCAAAGTCAAACAAAAATAAATTTTTTTAGAGGAAGAGATCTATTTTTTTCCATGCGAAATACCCACAAAAGAACAAAAGTGATAATGAACTGGTGTTGATGCTGATTCTGAGCTGGTGTGTTAAAACAATTGAGATGAATTTCCACAAATACAAATTTGGAGTGACAAAGTGTTTATTCTAGAAAATTAGATTTAAAAAGTAAATTTAGAGAGATGTACAGACTGAGTTTGTACGCTCTCTTTTCCTTTACAACAACTTTCCTCTTTGATATCTAGGTGCCTGCGAACACGGACAGTGTGATGTGCTTCGGGCCCCTCGTTCCTGACGGTTACGCCGTTTGTAACAACCCCCAGGCGGACCACATCCACTTCTCCGTCATAGCTTTCAACTGCTGCGAAGAGACGAACGCAGAGACTTTAGCTCGTACTCTGAAGCAAACCTTGTGCGACCTGCAGGAGCTGCTGGAGCCTACTGTGTAGAGCTGCCGTGACGCCATCCAACCACTCATTAACAAGGAAGAAAATATTTTGTATGGCTCGATTCTCATGTATGCTTCTTATTATGCTCCATTAGTTTTAAATTGTGAGCGAGCCTGAACTCTGTGGCTCTAAAGGGGCTTTTAATATTTTTTAATAGCTTGTTCAGCAGTTTTTCTTCTTGTGTGAGGCATCATGAGGAGGTGTCTGAGGCAAACAAGGTTAACTTGACACTCCTGTATTATCTGAAGCTTCCCACAAGTGAAATGAAAACTCCTTTTTGTAAGTCGGGAAATTGTGGATAAAAAAGAAAGGCTTCGTATTTTACTCTTGACAACAAAGCTACTTTTGATTTGCTACGTTAATGAGGGTTTAAAGAGAATAAAAGGAGATGAAGTTGGTTATTAATGATGACGGCAGATAAAGTCTAATATTTTTGTTTGAGCTCAAACCAGCTGATTGTCGAGACATTTCCATTTCTTCTTTCAACCTGCAGGACTGGTTAATAAAGCTTTTGATTTGTGGCACGTTTTCTGTGTTTGTTTGTTTTTTTTACGATGTTTTTGTTCATGTTCAAGTTTAAAAGATTTTCGATGGGGGAATCGAGATAAAAAAAGATAAGTCTGCATCCTGTTTACAACTTTGCGACACGATGCCGTAAAGGAGGAGTCTGAGCGCTGATTGGTCGAGGACTACCGGAAGTGACGTCAGCAGCGGCCGTCTCACCTTTAATTTAAAACCGGAACAAACAAACGCAAAAGTGGAGCGGCCGCGAAGTGTTTTAACAGGTGCATTTTATTTATTTTAGCGGGAATACGGAGTTTGTTAGTAAGGATTAATAAAACAGTCGCTGTAAATCTGCGTGACCTGTACCGCAGCTGGAAACGCACATAAGCTTAAAATAATGCGTTGACAACAGCTAAACCTCGTGAATTATTATTTTTTTTAACAACTTTGTCCTTCCAGGCGCCTTTTAATTCCTAAAAGTTTTATTTTTGTGTAAGTTTGAGTCACAATGGGGGGCTCACATTTCGCCAGGACGCGGAGGAGAAGCAGCGGGGCGGCCGCGCTGCTGTGCCCGCTCCTCGGTGCGTGTCTGTGGGCTGCGGTGGTCGGATACAAGCCGGTGATCGTGGTGCACGGTTTGTTCGACAGCTCGGAGGACTTCAAAAACCTCAAGCGCTTCATTAACGAGGTGAGTGGCACTGAACAAGAATCCTGGAGGTCTGTGGACCGCAGGTTAAATTAATTTCTTATTTTTGTTGGCATCAGAACATTATGTAACATTTACTGTTCCAGTTTGTGTCCTTTAAAACTCATGGCACCAGTTAATCTCATACAAACACAATGTGGATTAACTTGCTTAAAGTGACTAATGCATGAAATCTCATGCCAGTAATAATAAATGCTGTGTTATATAAATGAAAGTAAAATGTGCCCAAGCCTGTTTTCTTCTCTTCCAATATCCCAACACCCCTTGAGAAACTTTCATGAGCTGAAAATGTGGTTTTGGTACAAAAAGGAAGCTTTTGTGGGGTCTCTTGAGGAATTGAGGTGAAACCAACTTTAAGTTCCTCTTCTTTTAAGTCTGCTGTGTTAGAAAGTGATACACCTGACAGGACCCAATGGACAAAAACCGAAATCTCCTCCTTTCCGCTTTACAGTCTGAGCTCCTACTTTGCCTAATATGCTGTTGTGGCTGTGTATGGTTCTTCCGCATGCTGCTTACGCCTTTGTAAAATGACTGAATAGTTAAATTGCCAAAATGTCTTGTTTCCTTTAAACTAGGGGTGTCAAACCCACTTACAAAAGGGGGCCATAATTTAAACCTTTTTCAAACTAAGTGCTGGTTTCAGGATCTATAACTCAAGTCAGATACCCAACATCCTTTCTTGGTTGCAGGTTCCTCAACAAGAGTTTGATCGGTCTCTTTATATGTTTTCTGTTGCATTTTTGACATCATAATCAAAGATTACTGAAAAAAATTAAAGTATTTTACATTTAAAATAACATCTTGAGGGCCACTTTTGTCTGACACATGCTTTAGACCTTAACCATAATTTTTTATGCACACAAACCACTTGTGCGTTTTCCCAACAAATGTGGCACTAAGTGGAAATAAACATGCTTTCCAACTGTTTAAGATTCATTGCCAAGAAGCATTGTTACGCGAAAGAAATCCTGTTTTTGAGGCTATCTTTGAGAAGACGATCAGTTAAGCGCCTAAAGACAATATAGATGTGGCAATGTTCTGGAGATTTGATCATCTTTTCTCTCCTGCAGTCTCATCCGGGGACAAACGTGACCGTCATCGACCTGTTCGACAGAAGCTCCAGCCTGCAGCCCATGTGGAAACAGGTGGAAGGGTTCAAGGCAGCTATTTATCCAATAATGCAGAACGCAGCGGACGGGGTGAACCTGATCTGCTACTCTCAAGGTGAGCGAATGCATTCCTGCTCTCCAGCGTATACACATACATGTGGTATTTGCTCCAAACTACAAATACTCGATGTTTGTTTTTTCATTCTTACATGAACTGTTTACTGTAAATTGTAGATGATGGTTCTAATTAATTACTGGACGCATCTTGTTGCAGGACGTTAGGAATTTTGGTTTCAGTGAGTTTAGACTTCCGTCAGTTTTTGTTTCGACACTGAATGTTCCTGTTAAAGACTTCCAGACTTTAAATGAATTGTGCTTTGAGAGAGGTGTTTCTAGGAACACACTATAATAAATAGAATTTTTTCATCTTATGTTTGTATCTTCAAAAAGTGTGAAATATTCAGGTTTGTTGTTTTGACAGGTGGGCTGGTGTGCAGAGGGATCCTCTCCACTCTGTCTGACCACAATGTTCACTCCTTCATCTCTCTGTCGGCGCCGCAGGCCGGGCAGTACGGAGGTGGGTCCGACGTTCAAGTCTGAACAGGGTTTCAACAAGTCACCGCTTTTAGATTAAGAATTGGATCTGATGCGAGTTGGAGCCACGCAGACGTGTCGCCGGAACAACGTTACACACCAGTACTTACAGCAGCCGCGGCCGTTATTAAGGCTGGTTAATCACAATTCCTGCACTTCTCACGAAGAATACTTTGTGAGAAGTGCAGGAATTGTGATTCGCTGATGTGGTTGCGTCACTCGCGGCCCCTGAGACTCTGTTCTGTGCACAACAATGTCACAAGTATAGTCTTGCAGGGTTTGCACCAATTATTGTGTGATTGGTCAGAACTTTGTGGATGTGTTTATATGAAAAATGGCCCTGCTGAGGAGCAGCCGGCAGAGGCTGTTATATTAGAAAAGAGCTGTTCAAGGAAACCTTGTAAGAACGGTCCAAACTTTTAAAGATGGTCAAAATTATAGAAGTGGATTGCACGAAGAAGATGGCGTGGAGAACGCTTCGGCTCTGTATGGCTGCGCTGTCCAAGAGGGAGTGGGTCGTTAGTGTCCTGATGGCCGCTTGCTATTCAAAGAAGGTTGACTGATCCAACATTTTTCAGTCAGGTCATCTGGACAGTTTCTTTTTTTGGTGCTGAAACGTTTCACCTTCGATCCAGAAGGCTTCAACAGTCAAGGAAACACACAACAAAACTGATTTTTCCCCCAACATCTTACTCCAAAGTGGAGCAAACCAGTTCTGCTTGTGATCAGATGGTCTCTTTGGTGCGCCCCTCCTCCATTGCCGGCCCTCTTCCTTGTTGACAGTCTTGTCAAACTGGTTGAAAACAACAAAGTCCATGCTCAATAATCCAGGTATACAATCCAACATTCTTCAGTCAGGTCACCTGGACAGTTTTTTTTTTTTTTTGGTTGAGTGATGCTTGCAATAACAGCGGTGGGGGTGGGGGGTGGGGGGCAGCTGAACACAGAGACCTCTGTTTAATGATGGACGGGTTCTTTTCACAAAGATGGCTTCCTTTATTCTTCTCTCGTTCTCTCAGAGGAACGTTGGTTTGAGAGGAGTAAAGGAGGCCATCTTTGTGAAAAGAACCCATCCATCATTAAACGGGGCAGGGGTCTTCGTGTTCAGCTGCCCCCCCACACAATGCTGTTATTGCAAGCATCACTCAGCCCTCTGTGAATAGCAAGTGGCCGTCAGGACACCAACGATCCATTGTTAGGCTGATGGTCCTTTTGCATGTGAACTCTGTAGCTGGTTCTGACCGTCAGCAGCAAACTGGTTGATCCACTAGGAGAAGGTTCTGTTTATAAGACTGCGCTTGTTACAAGATCTCAGACTGAAGAAGTCCTTTGGATAAAAGACGAAACATTTCATCAAACAAGAATCCATCCAGAGGACCTGACTTGACCTTGTTAGATTTATCGACCTGGATTATTGAGCATCAGGACGTTGTAGAGACACATTCACCGCATGTTGGAAACGGTGTCGGTGTCTTCGTGACTAATTTACAAAACAGCGCTTCTCTTAGGTTAACGGCAAAAATACCAACTCTTCCTCCAACTCCTCCATCATTAAGTGAAAGTAAACATCCATCTCTGACAACTGCGCTCTCGTCATGTTAATTCTGTTATCGCACAGCGTGTCCTGTAGGGCCTGACTGATATGGAAATTTTGGCTATCACCGATACCGATATGTCCCCTAGACGCCTTTATCAGCCCTACTGATAGTGTAATAATCTAGTGTAATAATTTAGTGTAATAATCTAGTGTAATAATCTAGTGTAATAATCTAGTGTAATAATTTAGTGTAATAATCTAGTGTAATAATCTAGTGTAATAATTTAGTGTAATAATCTAGTGTAATAATCTAGAGTGCTGCATAAGGCTTGTCAGGATTTCTTTCTTTGAGTATAAAACGTTCTTGTCAAAGGAACGTCTCACAACCACGTCAGCGAGAACCGATATCTTGCGTCTTGTGAAGTTTGAACCGGGCTCTTCATCATATGTACCGGTGCCTCTAACGTTGGTACTCTGTCAGTATATAACTTGTGTAGCGGGTGCTTTTATTGTGTATTTACAGCATGCTCACAGTGCTTAGTACCTGGTACTGACAGGGATCAGAAACTTTGTACTAAGCACTCGGTACTACTCAGGGATCATGACTTGTTACCCTGTACTTCCAGGTGACGTACTCTGTCTAGTACCAGATACTATAACAGGTAAGTAACGGGTCTGTCCTCTGTAAGTACAGGACAGCCTGGTCTCTGTAGGTCCTGGGCTGTACTATGTATTTATACTGAAGGTTTTTATGGTTATGTAGCTCTTTTCTGTTGAGTTTTTTTAAATGTCTGACAACAGAACATCCGATCACGTTTTAAAACAAATAATCCAGAAATCTTTTACTAGCAAACGGACAGTAAGAGACCCGTTATTTTTAGGTGTTTGAAAACATTTAAAATAAAGACAAAGCGTGGATGTTGAAGCTCGTTTCTTGGTTTGTCTTGTTTGTTTGAGCTGAACCTTCTGTCTCTTCTCAGACACGGACTATTTTAAAGTTTTCCCTCATTTTGTGAAGTCCAACCTTTACCACTTCTGTTACACTGGAGTCGGTCAACTGATCTCCATCTGCAACTACTGGAACGGTGAGATTTCCTCTTGGAGCGCGTATTCACTTCTTAACTTGACAGATTTTAAAGGTTGACGTCAAACAAATAAGCCGCTGGAATAAATGTATGTAAGATGCAACGCGACGCTGTGGTTATAATCTTCCCTCCTCGGTCTGCAGACCCCCACCACAGAGACCTGTATCTGAACAACAGTGAATATTTGGCTTTGCTCAACAGCGAACGACCGAACCCGAACTCAACAGGTTAGAAAGTTCATTTCTGGAAATAAACTTCACTTAATGTAACATCTACAACTGCATGCTGGATGAGATCATCAGCACACATCCAAAACTCTGAGAATAATTTCTAAACTGGTACTTTTCTTATTCAGTACTTTTTTCTTCTTTTTTTTTGCACCGATCCGATATTAGTATCAGTATCGGTACATATATCGAAAAATTTCTTGATCAGGTATCGGTGTCAATGTGGCGGATCCATAAGGACAGGAGCTGATTGCTGTATATTTTAAATATCTGCCAACCAAGCTAGTGAATTATTGTTTTTTTGTCTTATTTCAGCTCCTTTAATATTTATTTTACATTATATTTAGAATTCCTGAACCTTTTTGAAAGGTTTATTTTTTTTCACGTTTGACCAAAGTTGTCAACCTATTGTTTTTGTCAGTTTCAGTATCTTTATTATTATTTATTTTACATTGGATGTTACACTCATAACTGCACTGACTGAACAAATTACACTTGTTTTTACACGTTGGACCAGCATTGTGAAGCTGTGATGTTCTATACTGGTGCAGTTTTTTTCAGTAAATTTGTAATTCAGTACATATTATGTCTGTGTTTAAAAAAAGTAAATGTTTTAAGTTAATTCAGTGTTTCTGTATCAGATCGGTATCGAATCGGTACCGATCGATATTAAACGTCAGATATCGGAAGTGAGAAAATAAAGTGGATCGGTGCATCCCTAGTACTTTTGCTGTAAAAGTCTTGCGCATGAAATCGAGGAATCTTCCTGTGTGGCGGGATGGATCAGTAAAAGCCACATGAGCCCCACAAAAGCTAAATGTTTTCTCGGACCAGTGATGCAGTCTTCAGGTTTGGTTTTTGTAACAACTCCAAACTTTCTCCTGCAGAATGGAAGATGAACTTCCTCAAAATCCAGAGGCTGGTGCTGATCGGAGGACCAGACGATGGAGTCATCACTCCCTGGCAGTCCAGGTGAGTCCGTCCTGATTTCACACGAGGTTTGATTTTAGAACAACACGGGGTTAATTTTGGGTCCTTTTCCATAATTTTAAACCTTTAAACTTCAATCTGCTTCAAAAATGGCTAACAAATGCGAGTTATCGATCACCTATTGAAACACTTCATTTATTGAGTATAGCTGCAACAGTTTTCCTCTTACTGTAATTTTTGGATTATAAGGCGCATTAAGTGAAACAAAACGGTCAGATAAGCCAAACTTTATTCAACTCATTCACAATAACCACATAAAATCTGCTCGAGATCAGTAAGTACAACCAGAATTAATACAGGCACACCTGATTATACTCACTGTCGATTTTTGAAAAAAATTAAAGAATTTCAAGTGTGCCTTAAAGTCCGAAAAATACGGTAAATCTGTTTGTTCAGCTTTAATGTGACTGGACCTCTCGGGGTCATTCAAAGGCTCCCGGTTCACACGTTTTATGGTGGTTTCGTGTTTGTTAATTTTACCGTTCGGTCCGAGGACCCTCGTGTGACACCGCCGTGTCTCTCCCTCGTGTTTTGCAGCCAGTTTGGATTTTATGACGACAACGAGACCGTCGTGGAGATGCAGCACCAAGACGTGAGTAGAAATCAGACGCCAGAGAGAAACGATTAGTTTTTCTCTTCTGCTTGTCACCTTTAGTAATATTTTTATTTTACTGTCGTTTACTGAGTGATAAACATAGGAGAGCACTTTTTTTTACAAACACAATTAAATGCACTTACCGTATTTTTCGCCATATAAGTTGCACCTTTTTGCATAAATTTGCAAGTTCAGCGACTTATATGCCAACGCAACTAATATACTTTTTTTTCCCATATTTATAACAATTTTTGGCTGAGATCTGACAGTTTCATTCATTCTGACATGAAAAATATTAAACATTACCATTTTCAGCCACTAGAGGGCACTAGTGCGTTATGGCAAGCCAAGTGTTTCATTAATATGTAAAAGCGGTTATTAATGAGACACTTGGCTTGCCATACAGAGCCACCTTTGTTTCACTCTGGAACTCCTGGAGCAAACGTCAAATCAGCTGCATTTCGCCGTGTCGCCCAGGTGAAACGCAGCTGATTTGACCATTAAAGTGAATTTATTAAGGAACAGTTAAACTGAGACACACCTTTACTATAATGTTGAGCAAACGAATAATTGTTTTTAAGTGTTAATCTTGTTAAATTCTTGTTAAAGTCCTCCCAGCACGCTCTTGCGGTCGCCATTTGGCAGCCATTCGATTTTTGGCACAACACCAGCCCATGTTTCCGGGTGGTCAGCGGTGACGCTTAATAGATGCAACTTATTTATGTTTTTTTCCACATTATTAGACATTTTTGGACTGATGTGACTTAAACAGCGGAAAGTACGGTGCATTTACAAATTGGTTCTGTTGGTGCTCCGACTGTGTGGTGTGGATTATTTTCAGCAACTACCACACCAAGTTTTAGCTGAACACCTGTGAAGCTGATGGTTACAGCCATTTTTTTGTTTGCAAAATAAAAATCAAAATGAGCTGTGACCGCCATCTTGAATGGGTTTGACTCCAGAAGTTAATCAGTCATTACTTTTAGAGAGATTCATCAAATATTCATCAGATATTTTGCTAACAGACAAAAAGGGTGGAATGCCACTGCTTTAAAGAAAGACCTCACACAATCTGTTAGCACTCAGAATATGTGTTGAGGATTATTCTCCGCTACTACCACACCACATTGTAACAGAATATTTGTACAGTTCACGGTTTTGTAGCTGTTCCAAGTCAGTGAAGTGTGGCGGCCATCTTGAACAGGCTTCACTCCAAACGTTGGCTTCATTATCTGCTAGTTTAGAAGAAATACACACATGCACAGACGCAGATAATTACATTATCACCCACCATTCATGGCGATAATAAGATGGGGGAAAAAAAACACCTTTTAACGCAGATATTTAATGTTTTGACCCAAAAATAGGAGCTTATCTGCAACACTTAACTAGAAAAGGTTTTAAAAAGCTAAAAATATAAATAAAACTATGAAAAAATGCTGATAAACTTTGAAATATGAAAAATATATAAGAAAAGCACCATATTTAATACATGACATACTAACAGAAGGAAAAAAAATCTTATGATCTTGTAATCTTATATTATTTTAAAGGTTTTTATTTGACTTTTGGCAGATTAAATTCCCTAAACTAAACGTTTTTCTCCTCCAGCTGTATTTAAAAGACGTGTTCGGTCTGAAGACGCTGGCGGCTCGAGGAGATCTGATCCTCTGCTCGTTTCCGGGCGTCGAACACGTCCAGTGGCACTCCAACGAGACCGTTTTCCACACGTGCATGGAGAAGTGGCTGGTCTAGAACCAACACGTGCGTGTTCTGCAGCGTTCTGCGCGCCCAGCGTTTCAAACGATAAGGCTGAGAGTCGATCTGGTGACGTCGTCTCATCGTGCGTTGAGTTGGTGTTTGTCCGGCGTGGACAGATGAGACGATATCGCATCTCTCCAACGACAACGAAGCTCTTCATCACAAAAAGTCGAGTTTAAAAAGCAATTTTTAGTTTTTAGGCCGTGTTTTGGTCAGAGTGCAGCACATTTTAGAGAATTTTAATCGAAAACCGCACTCTGTTTGGTTAAATTTCTCAAGAAGAAGGTTTTTGACTTCATGACCAGCTGCAGCTCCTCTGGAGTTACAGTAATCCAATAAATATCAAACTTCTCCTTTAAGGGTTTATTTCAAACTGCATTCTTGCAGTATTAAACAAAACCAACATTTGTGCTTTAAACTTTTGACAGAAAGCTGCAGAACCTGTAGGACACAGAAAAACACTGATTTAAACGCACATGCTAACATGTAGCTGTATGCATGTTTTATTAGGTTTTAGGGGATAATTGCTGCTGAAACAGCTGATCGAACAGGATTTTTGACTTTTAGTTGATGTATAACTAATCAAGTGTAAGTCAGAGTTGGCCGTGAGTGAACGGCTGTAACCCTGAAAGGGAAAAGTTGTACAAATTACTCATCCAAATTAATTTTAGTTTGTTTACAACGACTCGAATTAGAAATACAACGTTGTAACATTGTGTGTTTTAATGCGCAGGTGGCGCTGTAGCTTTAAAGCTGATGCGTTTGTGGATTTTCTAAGAAGTCTCGTCTGAGGGGGAGGCTGCATTTACAGAAAGGGAGCGCAAGATAAAAAAAAAAAAGAACGGATCCCGTCGTATTTAGTGTCGTGCGCTGTCATCAGCAAAGGGAAGCAGATAAATGCACAGTTCTACTGGGTCATAACAAAAATGTGTGGCCTTTTAGAACAAATGTATGTTTTTTTATTTTGAAACTATCCTCCTGCCTTTAAACAGGTAAAGTCTGGTGTTCTGTTGTAACCCATTTAGATGTGTTGCATCATCTTTACTTGTATAAAAAGTTAATATATTAGTATTAATAGGGATATTTTTGTGTATTTGCATCTCATGCAACACGACCGTGCCTGAACGACCTTCCGTCGTCTTCGTGTACAGATTTACTGCCCTGCTCGTCTTGTGATGCAGCTGTTTATATATTTTAATCCTCCCTGTTTGTGATAATGGAAACCAGTTAGCGTGCATGTCTGATTTCATCTTCTTTTAATTTATCGGATTCACTTTGGAGCTGAGCTCCTTCAGTAGATCAAGCCTTAACTTGTTCCTCTGCATGCCTTTTTGTTTTATACCCATTACCGAAGTGCCACCGCTCACAGCCTTTAGTGAGGGAGCTGAAATAATTCCATTTAGATTAAAGAGGTTGTAATTCATCAGGCAGTGACGACCTCTAAAAACCTGCTTGTGGTGATCCTTACCGTCCATCGCATTTAGATATCTCAGGCGTTTTAGTAACTCGTGTTTATAGGAAAAGGGATTTATAGTAAAAAAAAATGTAATGGCTGTTTTTATTTTGTTTAACTTTTATGTTTACTGGACAAAAAATTGGAAAAGTCTTTTTTTGTGTGTGTAAAAAAAAAATAGGAAGTAAATGATCAAAGCATGAATTGCACAATGGAGCGAGGAGGGAACTCATTAAGACGAGTTTAAATGTGTCCAAGAATGCTTCTTTTTTTGTTCCTAAATCTACAATTTAATAATGTCTGGATCAGATTTCTTCTACAAACGGTTTAAGTGATGTTTTAAAAACTAAAAAGACTATTTTGACAGTTTTTACAGTGTTTGTCTGGCTAAATGAAATGCGGCAACTGTCATTTATTTAATAAAAGACTATTTAAGCATCCGATTGCGTTTATTGCTATGTTTGACATACTAACTCAAAGTTATCATTTATTAATAGTCAGCCATTTGTTTTAGTCCTTTATAGTTAAAAATGTAGTTTTAAAACATATTTCCAGTGCATTGTACTTGTTGGTTTAAACTGTACAACAGAATTAATGTTTGGGAAACAGGCACACTGCATTAAAGTTGTTGCACCTGAGAGAAATATTCATTATTAGGTAGTTTATGTAAGCATATGTGTGTAAATGTATATATATTTACTTACATTTAAATGCATATAAACAATTGGTATTAATGTGTATGGAGAGCCAGTTCATCCAAAATGAAATAAAATTAAAAACGGGGTTAAAAAATAAAAGCCCCTGAAATATGTAATGTAGCTTTACAAAATAAAAGTGTCACAAAATGAAACTCTATTATTAAATAAATCTTGAGATAAAAAAATAAATCTTGAAATTTAAAAAATAAATAAATCTTGGAGGAAAAAACTACCGGTAAACCTTTCTATTTAAATGTTTAAGTTCATGGGAGCATTTATTTATTTAATGGAATATTTATTAATAATTTTCAAATAACACTATTTATTTATTTAGTTTTGAATTAAATGGCTTTCCATAAATATGTTGCTATGTTTCTAGTGTTTATGAAAGTTAGATTATTTGACACAATGTTGTCGCGGAGAAGTCAAAATACATTTCCCAGGATGCTTCGCGGCCCCGGAAACCTCCTGGCAGCTCACCGGATATCTGCACGCGGCGCCCCGACTAGGCCCTTTTCCGTCTCAGAGAAGTGTGGTGCAGAACGGCAGGCACAAGTGAGTGAAAGAAAATCGCTTTAACTTGGTTTAAATGTGGTGATATTAAAGTAAAAACGGACATTTGAAAGCGGAATTTCGTCCAACTACTCGATAAGTTCGTTCATAACTTTTCATTTTCGCGTAAACGTTGTTTTATTCCCTTTCGGTGTTGTCGTGTTAGCACTTAGCTTGTCTGCTAGCGCATGTGTAGCGGCATGCTCATTCGCCTTGTTAGATGTTACTTGTTGCACACCAATGACGGATGATTGTTTTTCAAATGTATTTTTCCTCCACATAATAAATTACCTAAATGCGTTACGAAACCATTTCCACGGAATTTTCACGTATTTCAAGTCTCCGACGGCAGTTAGCTTGCTAGCTGCTAACGCCTAAAACGATCTAATAAATCGAACTCGAATAAGCTCCTAACTGCAGTTATTTAATGCTGATATCTCGTGCCAAATCTTTGTTTATTACTGTTGGTGTTTTACTATTTTCACAAGGGATTATAAGTTTGTAGTGCTATGCTGTCCATTGAAACGAGTGATGTCATCAGTGGCTCACTTTGGATACCTTTTCATCCCCACGTCTCTGCAGTGACTGAGTGGGAGACTGCCCCAGCTGTGGCTGAGACCCCTGAGATCAAGCTTTTTGGAAAGTGGAGCACTGATGATGTTCAGATCAATGATATCTCCCTGCAGGTACGTATCAAGAGAGTTTGTGATCATCTAAGCGAGGCTAGAGTCACGCCTGGACACTGACCCTTTGTCCTGGTGTGCTAGAGCGCTCGTAGAGCAACTGATCTTTGCTTATTCATTGGCTGTAGTCTCACGTGGCCCAGCCAATCACCAGCTTAGATACACCACTCACCTGAACGACGTCATTTAGTTGGCAGGTGTCTTTAGTGTGATGTGATTAAAGATGCCACTGCTTTTCCGCAGGATTACATTGCTGTGAAAGAGAAGTACGCCAAGTATCTTCCACACTCTGGAGGACGTTATGCCGCCAAGCGTTTCAGGAAGGCCCAGTGCCCCATCGTGGAGCGTCTGACCAACTCCATGATGATGCACGGCCGCAACAACGGCAAGAAGCTGATGACCATGCGCATCGTCAAGCACGCTTTTGAGATCATCCATCTGCTGACCGGGGAGGTACTATATTTTTCAGTTTTATTTGCAAGATTTTTGAATCTGTTGGGAACAATTTAATCGCATTAAATGAAATTGTGTTGACACAGTTTAACCTGTAACTCAGTTTCACCTGCCTTAGAAACTTTAAATAGCCCACTGCTGTACATGAAGCACTTCGTTTTTTATTTTTCTGGAAAGCTTTATTATATACGTTTGTAAAACTAGGTTGTCACCATTAAATCCTGCTGTATGGCTCAGATTTGAGTTGGATACTGTTATCGAAAAAGGAAAATATATATTTAAAAATAAAGGTGCAGCCAAGCCCAATGGGTGGTAAAGACGGTGTTTGCTGTACAGAAAGTTATTTTTCCGACTTTGTCTCCAGAATCCTCTGCAGGTGTTGGTCAATGCCATCATCAACAGCGGGCCCCGTGAGGACTCCACCCGTATCGGTCGTGCTGGTACCGTCAGGAGGCAGGCCGTGGACGTGTCGCCTCTTCGCAGAGTCAACCAGGTAACAAACTCCCTCAATCATCAGTATATTATGTTTGGGCTGAAGTTGTTTATTAAAACTGTTAATTTTGGCTTTAAGGTAAGATCTGCAGTTTTAAAACTAGTTGAGCAAACCTGAAATATTTGCTGTAAGCGAGGCTAGAGTCACGCCTGGACATTGCTCGTTGTCTTGGTGTGCTAGAGTGCTCGTAGATTAAAGCTCTTCGTTTATTCATTGGCTGCAGTCTGCTGTGACCCAGTCAACCACCAGCTCAGATACAACCTGCTGCTGTGTTCAGCAAACTAAAGGAAACCCCCGTGAGTGCACTGACTCTTAACGAGCTGTCGTTCTGCAGGCCATCTGGCTGTTGTGCACAGGAGCAAGAGAAGCTGCTTTCAGGAACATCAAGACCATCGCTGAGTGTCTGGCCGACGAGCTGATCAACGCAGCCAAGGTACCTGAGCAAACATGAAAACTAGTTCCTGTGTGGTGACATAATTTAGGAACTGAATCTGCATTTCTTGCTCCTCCAGGGTTCATCTAACTCGTACGCCATCAAGAAGAAGGACGAGTTGGAGAGAGTCGCCAAGTCCAACCGTTAAACATGTTCGCTTTCTAACAAAACAAATAAATTTAAAGAAATCAACTGCCGTGTATTATGTGGTCATTTGGAAAGATTTACCAGTAGTTTAAAAAGAAAGATAGAATTACATGTTGAAGTGTGATGGACAGTAAACTGAGTCTTTCCTAACAGCTGCATTTTATTCAAACACGGGAAAGCTAAAACTAATTTTACATTTAGCAGCTAATTACTAAAACATTATGACTGAGGGGTTCATGGGTCAGACGCAGGTTTTCCTTCAACAGAATTACCAGTAGCTCAAACCATTGACAGAAACGCACTGTAGTTTTTAAACTTTTGTCAGAGTTGGCAACAATAAAAGGATCTCTCACTGCTGACGGGTACAAAAAGACGTTTGTGTCAACAGGCACAGTTAAGAGCTAAAATGGACAAAATTAACTTAGTGGTCCTAAAAGAAAGTGGCGCTGCAGCTGAGCTTCATGAAAGCTGTGATGTCATCAGGAGGAGCAGCTGCGCCGCGAATCAAACCGACTCTGACCCCACAGTTTTATCTTGTGGATAAGTCGATGTGTTTTCAGAAGTGTGTGTGCTTCCTGTTGATGAGGAGGCAGAGGGAGGACAGAGACGCTCCCAGTTTGGAGGCTTCGCTGGCGGCTGTGGGCAGGAGGGTGTAGTCCTGCAGCTTCTGGAACGCCTGTGGAGAGTTCGGAGGAAACGTTTTACTCATCCAGACTGAACTGACATGAACTGCTGCAGCAGACTCTTTAATGGGGGGGGGGGGTAAAACCACTGGCTGGAAATCTGAGCAACTCGTGGGTGTGACTAAATAAAATTACAAAACGTCATGGGGATTTATTTTTCTGTAAAGTAAAAGCAAACTTGGATGTAAGTAGATATTTCTTTTCTATCGACACTGGTTCTGGCGAAGAAACAATTTTGTAACATTTGTGAGACAAAGGACAAATCAAATTTTTTTACAGCTTGAGCGTCATCATTAATCTGAACTATAGTTTAAAAAACTGGATCTTAGTCTGAACTGAATTTAAACAGAACGGCCTCATTAGAAGAGAAAACAAGCAGCTGAATAAAGGCAATGTGTGTCAGCAAAATATCTCATGAACCACTGAACAACTTGAAAGGATGTGTAGCTACTTAAAAGAGCTAAAGTTTGGTGTAGTAGCCGAATCATCCCCAACATGTACCGCAATCTGAGCACTGAAAAACTGTTGCTCATAACGTCTGCACTGCGGCAGGCCGTACGCATTCTTTTACCAGTTTGTCACGTTGAAGACATTTTTATAAGGTCAGAAATGGTCCAAACACGCCCAAATTTAGTTTTACACAAACGGTGGAGATGATTTTTCAGTGGGAAACATCGAACTATTGTCTGAGCCCAACTTGAGTAGAAACGACTCATTTCACTGACTGAAGTACGACGGTACAGAGAATTCATACTTTGAAGCTTTTATAGGATCTACGGGGTTAAATCTGACGTAAAACTCCTCGTGTGAACTCACAGAGACGCTCTCAGGACATTCCTCAGCGGGTCTGTGCAGCAGGAAGTCCCTCTTGGACGGGCCTTTAACGTAGATGCAGTTGGCTGCAGATTCCTCGGGCACGGTGAGAACTTCGTAGTGGTGATCCGTCAGCTGCTCCATCATCTAAAATATAAAACACGCGTCAAGAGTTACGCACAGAGTGGAAGCTTGAAGCGATCAGAAGATCCTCGCAGTTCATGTAGGAGGAATCAGAACCGGCTTTTATTATTATTATTATTAAAAATAAAAAAAAGGGTTCAGCTGTTTGGAACAACTTCAAATGAACAACGTTCAGTTTTTAGGTCAGTTTGATCAGCAGTTAGGAAAGTGGAGCTTAATGTTTTCTTTTTAGATAGAAATTAAAATAAATATAAACTTAGGGATTTATTAAGTTTAGCCCCAAATTCATAAAACGCAAAGATCTCCAACAATCAAATAAAACTTCAAAATGATCCCTTGTGTCTTATTTTATCTACAATAATTAAAAGAGAGGAAACCATTCATGGTAAAAGTTCCTGATGCCGTCGGTGTTAAGACGCTTTTCTTTAACCAGGTGGAAAGTCTTCGTGGATGAAAAGCCACAACAACTTCTTTACAGGTTAATTTTGTGAGCAAGACGTGAACTTTCTTACCCGCAGCGTCTTCTTGGCCCCATCAGTGTTGCTGGCGATGATCGTTCCCGGACCCCCCATGGAGCAGACGTCCTTCAGCCGGGCTCCGCCGCACACGGGGACGGTGGACACGGCGAAGTCCTGAACAGGTGAAGTTTGAAATAAAAGACTGCAGCTGCAGAAACATCCACGACTTTACCTCAAGATAAACTCCGTTCATGCAGCGTCAATCTGAGACGAAGCTCTCCTCAAGAAAACAACATTTTTATATTTTATCCATTCAAGTTCAAAATGTCTCATTAAGGAACATTCGGCTAACAGTCACATACATGAATTCACTTATTGTAATAGTTGAGATCAATTTTACACTGGGCTGGTCTCAGCTGCTGATCTCTGTCCAGTTCCCTCTGAAGTGTTAAAATGCACCCCTTGACTCAGAGTTATCTCATTAATGAAGGAAAAACAAGTAGCATACTGTAGTTTTCACCATATAAGTCGCACCTTTTGCATAAATTTGCAAGTCCTGCGATTTATACACCGAAGCGACTAATTTAAGTTTTTTCCCCGTAATTATAATCCAATTTTTGGCTGAGATCTGACTATTTCATTCATTTTGACATGAAAAACATTGAACACTACCATTTTCAGCCACTAGAGGGCCCTCGAATAATATGGCAAGCCAAGTGTCTCATTAATAGGTAAAAGTGGCTATTAATGAGACACTTGGTTTACCATACAAATCGACCTTCGTCTCGCTCCGGAACTCCTAAACAAACATCAAATCAGCTGCATTTCGGCACGAATCCCAGGCGAAATGCAGCCGATTTGACCATTAAAGTGCATTTATTAAGGAACAGTTCAACTGAGACACAACTTTGCTATAATTTCAAGCAAACAAATAATTGTTTTTAAGTGTTAATCTTGTTAAATTCTTGTTGGTGTCCTCCCGTGCACGCGGCCGCCATTTGGCAGCCAATCGATTTTTGGCACAACACCTGCCCATATTTTCGGGTTGTCAGCGGTGACGCATAATAGATGCGACTTATACGGCGTAGCAACATATTTATGTTTTTTCCCACTTTATTAGACATATTTGGGCTGATGCGACTTATACGGCAGCAAGAACGTTATTTTAAATTTTGTAAATAAAAACTGAAATGAGCCTAAAACCTGAATCTGAATTAGAGAACGATCACGTCTTGAAATGATCGGCTGGTCTTCCTCTTTAATCCCGTCCCGACGGTTCACACACGCCCATAAACACATTCAGCATGAGAGGATGCAGAGTGTGCGCGAGTAAAAGCACTTAGAGGAAGTGAGGGAATCAATATTTGGGTGGGTCTTGTCAGGCCGATGGGAGCGGAGCGGAACAACCTCATCCATCACCGCTCAACGACAAGAATTCCTAAAATGCAGTAAAGCGAACGAGCACCTGCTCTCCTCGGCAGCTCCGTTGTTTTTCTTACGACGGTCTTTGGCAACAAGACGACGCCTCTCACTCTCTAAAATCTGTCGATGTGTTTAATCCTGCAGCAGAGAGCCATCCACACTAAACATATCCTCAAGAATATCTGTTCCTTTAAGCTGGACCAAGAACCCAGCAGATTAAAACGGTCGTACTACTAGTGTTTAAATCCAGAATATTCTCACTTTATGTTTTTTTACTTTTCAGTGTCTCTTCATGCTTCTCACCCTGAACGTGTCTGCCAGCACTTCGGCTCCTCTTCGGTTGGTGTGGGAGGAAACGCCAACAAAGAACTCCCTCCCAGTGAAGAGGACATCGCTGCCTTCCAGCGTGGCCCCCCCGGAGTCTCCCTGTTCTCCCCCCATCTCGACCACGGTCAGGTTGAGCTCGGACATCACCCTCCTCACCGCCTCCGCCTGTGGACAAAAAAAAACCTGGGTTCAGGTTTAACTTAAACGAGGCTCAGCTTTTAGAGTAAAACAGCAGAACTGAGCATCTCAAATATCTGATCACACCATTTATTCTGCAAGATGTTTGTTCTCATCGTCGCAGCTGCACTAAAATGAAAATTACGTCTTTTTGTGCTGGCTCCGCCTCCAAGAACATGTTCTGTGCTCGAGCTCCTGGCAGAAATTCTGTCTCGCAGGGTACGGGCCAAGTATCGTGTGATTGGTCAGAACTTCGTGCAAAATGAGCAACAAGTACACGGTCCTCGTTCTGCTTTAACTGCTCGGCTGAGGAGCAGCTGGCCGAGGCTGTGCACCTCGACCGGGCGGCGTGGGAACACGTTCCCTCACCGTCTGTCGGAAACGTGTCAACCTCTTGGTGACAAATTAAAATATTGCTTCTCCTTGATTAACAACAGGAATAATCGACCTTGGTCCTCCATCATCATCTGAAAATAAGCAACCACTCTGCCAGCTGTGCGCTCCAGTTTGTTTGAAGGGAAGCACCAGTTCTCACTGGGTGACGTGGAACGACGAGAACACGTCTTGCGTCTTGTGCAGCAGCTTAACGCTAGAAGCTGTTTATTAAAACTGGCCTTTATGTTGAAATAAAACTCAAGCTCATTACTTCATGAAGTTTAGACCAAACCACGTACACAAAGTCTTACAGCAGCATGTGGCTGAGTGGTTGGAGCAGTCACCCTCCAATGGGAGAGTTGGGGGTTCGATTCCACCAGAAGTCACATGCTGAAGTGTCCCTGGGCAAGAACCCCTCACTGTCTCGACGTGTGTCCCATCGGTGTATGAACGTGACCTGATTAGTCTCTACAGATTATCTTTGAAGTAGTGCTGAATGAATGTGTGTGGAGGTAAATGACGTGAAACACTTTGAGCATCTTCGTTAGATAGAAAGGTGTGAATTTACGCTGTTAATGTTAAACTTAATTATTCTTTGTTTGTCTGATAATTCATAAACATCAAGAGATAAGTTTGCCAGGCGACAGAAACAAAAACTGAAAGAGCGTGAATGTTCTGAAACTCCGCTTTTAGGATAAACACCAGATTAGGAGCACTATCGAAGGATTAGGGCAGCAGAAAGGACTTTTTTTTTGGTGGT